TAAAAATGAATTGTAAATTAAAAAATAGTGATAACTCAGTTCGAAAAAATAATTTGTGGTTCTAATTTTTTCATCTGTTTGTTGGCATTCAATCTTTACTTAATTATATCCATACAAAACAAGTAGAAACAAATTTCTGTAAGGAAATAAATGAGTTGAAGTCATTTAATTACCTTTTGCTTGTGTGGACCGTAGAAGGCGTGATTTCTGGATCAGTTGCTTCCACAAAGTCATTCGATTCTAAAGTCGAGAAGAATTACAACCCAAAGTATCAGTTATTTAGACGGAAAAAAAAATTTAAATTTTTGATCAACTCGAAGTTAATAGCTATCTCATCTCATGTGCTAAAGCAGTTATCTTGGTCTATTTTTGAATATTACTATGAATAAAATAAATTTTAACATAATAAACAATAAGAACTTCTATTATTAATTGCGCTATCAAAAACTTGTAGAATATAATTTTTTTATTTACAGAAATTATTGAACTTTAATTAATTAATTAATTAATTAATTAATTTTTGTTTCTTTGTCGATATGAAATATTTACTTTCTCTTTCATTTATTTATTCAAATCTAAAGGTAAAGAGCTGAAGCTTGCAAACTTTGCAGTTTCCTATTTTGATTCTTTATAAAAACGCTTTATTTTCATTTTTGTTTAAATTATTTCAACTGTAACAATTTTTGAATACTTTATATCATAAAAGAAACTCAAAGTTGATATCTATCTGATGATAAGACATGATATATTAGTAATGAATAAATTTAAGAAGAACAATTTTTAATTCGAACCTGTAGTATGATAGAATATAGATCCAAATAAGGCATCAGTAACGAAGCTTTCACTTGCTGATGCTTTTTTTTCATTAGCTCCCTCCTTCAACAAATAAAACGGAATTTGAGACTTCAATTAATCAAATAATAGTAATTCGACTTTGTATACACATATAGAAAAATAATGCATTCCTTAGAGTGCTACTGTAATGAGTAATAAGTCAAGTCACTATTTAATACTGACATTATGGTAATCAGTACATACCACTTTTTTCGCATTTCGCACAAAATTTGTATAATTTGGAGTACTCAGAGCAGTAAATTTTGATAAAGATAAGGTGGATTCTTTACTTTCAGTTATTCCAGTTTCATCTGAACTTCTATAGTTAGAAGCTGTAATTAGATATCTCTGTAGTTTGCGTGCAGTAATCTTTTTAACATGATTAGAATTATGGCAAAAAATTGAAAATATTTTATTTTTGCAAACTGGCAGATATATCAGATATTGATATATCTGATATATCTGCCAGTTTGCAAAAATCAACTAATTTAAATTTGAACCTGTAACTTTTAAAGCTTGAATTTCTGTTAATTAGTGTATAGAGTGAAATGAAACAGTTAATGGGATTAACTATACTAGCAAAATCTAATTCGAAATATAGTTAATAGCAATTGAAAAAATCACCGTAACTAACTCAGTCTATCGTTGATTAAGAAGGCTATGTCTGAATTACTCTTTCCATCTGTTACCGTAACATATGGACAGTAATAAGCTGCTTCATTTCCGCCAATTATTAGAGAGTTTCTTTTTTTGAACAGTTTGGTTTTATGCAAGATTTTATTCAAATTTTCCATATCATTTTTGAATACTTCACCATTACTGTAATTAAGCAAACAGATTGATGATTATTGAAAAAATTGTTTATTGACAGTTTTTGAATTTTTTTATTCATAACTAAGCAATAATTTTATTAGCTACCAATACATTATTTTTCAATCACTTTAAATATTAAAAAGTTCAAAAAAGTAAATTTATTTTAGTCACACAAAGTAAAACCTGTAAGCTGTTCGATCCGCAAGAAATAAAATGTATAAACTCGGTTTTTTATCCAAATTATATCGATAGTATTGCCACACAGTACTAAAATCTTATTTTTAAGTTTTTAAATTAATTTCAATAATTCTCAATAACATTAATTCTGCTAATTTATGAATTATCTATTTTATACATCATTTTTTGTAAATTCATCAACAGCTTTACAATTAATCATTAGTTTTTTTAATATATTAGTTTGACTGATCTATTAGTTTCGCTAATCATAGGTTTATCATAAAGGAAAAAGTGCGCAAAAAAATGACTAAAGCTAACTGAATTCTCAAAACATTTTCAGAAGTTAACTTCCGCTGAAGTAATAAAGCTTAGAAATAATTTACGGCAGCTCAGCTGCAAAAGATTTTCATATGCAAATTAATTGCCCTTCTTAAATATTATTTTGATACCTAAACGAGTATGTCAAATAATTAAGCAAAACAAATAATCAGCATTATATCTTTAAAAAAGTTGTGAAATTAATATTTTTTTTAAAAAAATTTTAATTATTATTACTGAATGAAGTTTTAAAAAATTTCCAAGTGTTTTATATAATAAAAGAAAAATTTTTTACAGCTAAAAAATATTACAGAATTATTTATTTGTTTTCTCAGCGTAGAATATGGTAGAAAGCAAAGAGATCAAGTAATATTTAACCTTTGTAAGTGCTAATATTTGATATTCTGAGAATGTGTACAGAAGTGTTATGCAAATTCAAGCATTAAACAGACATACTTCGTTTGGTTGGGATCTTTGATTGAATTTATCGGTTTCCATTCAGTTCCATCAAGATATCTCATTGCGCACAGAGCATCACAAAATCCACTAATTATTGTATTTTCAGAATTCAAATAAGACTGAATTACAAATCGAGCGTTACTGTTATAATACTGCATTAGAAGCAGTCGAATTACTTCTAGAGTGGGCCACTAAAATCATTAATTACCATTAAATCTTTTTTTTAGAAAATTAATTTCTATTAATTTTGGTATTTTTTAATTTAAGAGTAATTAAAAGTCATAGCATTGATGGATTATTAATATTTCTGTCATATTACAATTAATCGAATTACAAAATGTTTTCAAGCAATAAAGTGAAATGTATTAATAGAAAAGTCATCAGCAGTATTGAACGAAAAGTTATCAAAATTAATCAGTAAATTAATCTTCGATACACGTCGTGATATCAATTTTTAGAAACCCTAACTGTCAATCTCGATTACCAATCAGATTGTTAATCATATCATATCACATCATAACTTATCACTGATCATATTTATTATCACTATATATTGACACATTATATTTGTTCGCTAATTAATCTCTTTTTTAACTTCATTTTTTCATTTATTAAATATTTTCTGTGATTTTCATAATTATTAATTCTTGTTTTTTTTTTGTAACTTTCAATGATTTTTGACAGTTCTGTTTGATCTTTCATATGATATTTTTTGCTAATATTTGACCACTTTTGCAAAGAATAACAGAACTGTAATTATTGATTAGATGATATTATTCAATAAAATAATAATTACTATAAGTAATTTTAAAGTTTTTATTATGAAAAACAAATTTAGTTTATGTGAAATTGTGGATTTAATTATTATTTCTTGTTTTTTTCATCAATTTTAATGACGTCAATGTAATTTTATTAAATCATTAATTAAACGATAATCACTGATAATAATACCTAAAGAAAGTAGCCAATTTCCAATATTAAGCATTTTTAAACAATTCAAGTTGTACTCTCAGCAATGAAATTGTACTGCAATAAATTTTATCAGATCAAATAATAATTTTATGCAATTATAATTTTAATAGATATAATTTTACACTTAAATATGCATTGTTCTGTAGCTGTATGCAATTTATCAAAGTATGCAGCATTTATCATTAGTGATTATTATTATTATTATTATTAATTCATTTATTTATTTATTATTACTATTATTATTTCATGACATTTATGTCATTTATCTCGCTTAAACTTAAATGCCCTCGTTGATGAGATAAGATTTTTTTATTTTTATGCTTGTGTAAAAAAAGGAGCCAAATTTTTTGCGAAAATATTATCATTGCAAAGTAAATTATTGCAGTTGTATTAAGGTTAAAAAAAATAAAATTGGATCAGAAGATCAGATAATTCACTTTCTGAATTTGGCATTTGGTCTATTTAATCTCATTTATTCAGTATTCTATGAATTATAAAAAGTTTTCCTTTATCATTAAAACGAAAAATTAAAAGAATAGAACTTTTTATTCTTTTAATATTTGATAAAAATTGTTCTAATTTCAGATATCATCAAATTCTGTACAGTTAAATGAATTTAAGGTTTTGATTTATTAATGATTACTGCAACAATTTTGTGGAAACGAAAAAACAAATGGAATTCAGTAATATTCACTAATAATAAAAAATGCTTCTATTTATGGAAGTTTAATATTAAGCAACATTTTACTAAAATCGAATTAAAATATCGAAAAGGTTTTTAATTGCTAATAATATTGGACAAAATAAAAATTGCATAATTAGATACTTTGAATAAAGTAAAATCATTGAACAATCGTATGCAATGCGCAATTAATAAAATTTGATACTTTGAAATACTTTAAACTTTGATATAATTATTACTTTCAAGTAAATTATAATATTTTGCAAGAAATTGTCAAAAATAATTACATATAAAAATATTTTTATTTTTGCAAAGGTTTAAAATTTCTTTAATTTTCCAATTTTTCTTTATTAAATTTTGAAGTATTTTGAGAACTTTTTTCATTTTTGTTTATATTTTTTTGAAATATTTTTAAACATAAAATAATTTTAATGAAAGCATTTGAGAAATTGATAAGAGCAAACAATTCTTATCGAAATAACTTACATTCATGAAAATATTATTAAGATAATTGTTATGAAAAACTATTTTCTTATCATAATAATCTAGATTAATTTAGAAACTTTGAGTTAACTTAAGTTAGCTTTAGTTATAACTTTAAAAAAGCATTCAAACTTTGAACAAAAATAATTTAAAGTAATTTAAAAGCTTCAAGCTTCTAACTAAAGTATCTATTATAATTACAAATATTAAGCCAATATATGGTTAAAAAACTTATTGGCATTGATATATTTATGTACTAAATAGCTGTTGTGAAAAAATTTATTCTTTAATTTTCTTTTCACGTAAATATTCACTTACAATACTTAGTCCTTTTGATGCTGAAAAACTTTTCATTCCACTTTCCACCTTTTTTAGAAAAATATTAAAAAAATACATTAAAAAATAATTTATGGCTGATTGAACGATCGAGAATTGTTCAGGATTATTTCACAGCTTTAAAATTGTACAATTATTCCAAGAAAAAGAAAGTGAACAAGTGAATATAATTTAATTTTAAGAATTTGCTTTTATGCAAATTTTCAAAAAAACTGGTTTTTTCAAAGGTTATTCAGTAAAAATGCATTAATTGGTTCATTTTTTTACTTTTTCATTTCAAACTTTGCAA